GGCTGATTTTAAACTCACTGTGTAGCACAGGCTGACGGCAAAATCTTCTCCAAGTACTAGGATTATAGGTGTATGCCAGCACACCTAGCTTTAAAATTCTGCACTTAACTTTTTAAAAAGATATTTACCCAAAAAAAGGATTATGAAAGAATGTAGAAATAAATCCTTTTAGTGATAGGCTGTACAATCAAATACTAAGTGGTAGATATAATCTTACGTTATTGTGTAATGTTCACTCAGAAAGTGCTATAGTGCCTCCGAGGAAGAAAATCAAGAGAACTAATAAGGATAAAGTAGCATGAAGTGAGCTTGCCATTTAAGAATATTAAAAACTAATATGGGCATCATGCTTGAACCTTAGAGAACTTTATGTTTCTCGGTCTATCCAGTCTAAAAAAAAAAATTTTGTGCTGTTTTAGTGTCAGATCAGTTGCAGCCTAATACTTTTATAAAACATAATAACCAATATAGCAATGATAAATTTCACTAAAAGTTTGTAAGCAGTTCTTTTCCATTACTGTTCTTCCCTGAAAGAGCTTCCAGGCATTTTGTTACAGGGCCTCAGTGCACATCCCACAAGCTGAGTAACGCCTGTGTCCCAACTAAGTCGAAGCCACCCGTTCTGTGGCACTTACCTCAAATGTGAATTTTAACATTATCTTGTTGCCTTTCTTGATTCAGAATTTTTTAGACAACTTCCCTAGCAGTGACATCCTGTCCTTTGTTGGAAGGATCTTCCTGCTCTTCCAGATAATGACCGTCTACCCGCTCTTAGGCTACTTGGCCCGCGTCCAGCTGCTGGGCCACCTCTTCGGTGACATTTACCCCAGGTAAGAGCACTTCCCTTGACCGACAAGATACGCCAAGGGTCCTGTGCAGAGGTCAGCTTGAAGCATGAGCAAGCCTTTTACTATAAAAATTTGCCTAATGGAAATAGTTACTAAGGATAGCTCACTGGTGTTCCTTTCCCAGAAGAGCTTTAAATATAGAAGCCGCTCCCTTATCCTGAAGGATTTAAAGTTTAGTCCTTTAGCTCTGATACCAGTTATATTTATCTTATTATTTGCCTGCTGTTAATCTGCACATTACCATGAGTTTATATAGTACCTGTGTTGGCACATGAGCTGCTGAAAAGCAACTTTTAGTTACTGGTCCTTAATACTTGAGTGTTTATTAATACTGTGCATGTTTACTTAAATGATCATATTTTAAAAGTGAAAGTGAGATATAGAATGAGTTTTAATTCTCGATATAAAACAAATTTAAATTACTATGGTAATTACCCTGGGCATTGAGGAGCTGTGAGTCCTTTTGTTTGTTTATTTTTTTTAAATTTAAATCATTTATTTATT